AAGAGGCAAACAAAGGGAGTTATGAATTGGAGTTTGCAAAGACAAACGCTTACGGAAACTAATAACCAGACAAGGAAGAGACTTATGAGTCCAATAAGGAGATGTTGATGCGTCAGTTGAGAGGCGTCGAAGTCGTAACAAAAGAGGATGTTTTGTAAATTGCACGCAACGGAGCAGATATTTATCGGATAAGTATTGACGTCTCAATTGAAGAGGAGGTTCCACACACTCCACTTGCAACGCATTGATGGGACTTGACTTCATTGCTCCCAGAATAATTCTTAAAGCTTTAGATTGCACTCAAATTTTTTAAATGCCGATGAGTAACATGGGCCAAGAATAAAAGATGCATAATCAAAAAGACTCCTAATAAGTGAATAATATAATAATTTCAAACAAAAAAAATTTGCTCCCCACCAAACACCCGTTAAACATTTGATAATATTCAGGTTTTTCTCACATTTAGCTACGATGTAATCTGAGTGTGGAATACCAGTAAGCTTAGAATCTAAAATAATCCCCAAAAATTTAGTTTGAGGTACAAAGGAAAGAAGAACATTATTATAAACCACACAGGTATTGGTGGATTACGCTTTTTAGAAAATAAGACAACAGTGCTTTTGGGAATGAAAAGTTCAAGGCCATTTGTATCTAGCCAACATTTCAAATGTTGAAGAGACTGTGTCATTGAGTAAGATGCTTTTTGAACACAACCGTTTACATTGTACAGCAAAAGATCGTCAGCGTTTTGAAGAATTTTAACAGAAATATTAAGTGAGGACTCTAAGTCATATGTATATATATTATAAAGAATAAGGCTAAGAACAGAGCCTTGGGGAAAAGACCCTTCCATAACAAGTTAACTTAGCGCCATCCTGAAGATGTATATTGATATATCTTTCAGACAACATATTTATGATAAAAGAAGATAACATTACGGGAATTCGTAAATCATATAATTTTTTTTGAAGCAGAGAAATTAAGACATTATCATATGCTGCACTGATATACAAAAAAGCCGATAAAACAGATTCATTATTTGTAAAAGCCAAACGGATATCCATCACAAATATACTAATATTATCAAATGTGCTTTTACCTTTTCTAAATCCAAATTGGTTTGACGCCAACAAACCATTGCTTTCAACAAACCATTCCAAACGGTTTTTAACCAAGTGTTCAGATAACTTTAAAAGTACGGATGAAAGAGCTATAGGACGAAAAGAGGAAGCATCCGACGCTAACTTGCTAGGTTTTTAGATTGGTGTTATAGATTGATATTTCCATGATTTAGGGATATTACTTGACAACATAACTGAGTTTACTATATCCAAAAAGTATTTAAGGGTCCTGTCGCTACAATTTATGAAAAATAAATATGGGATGCCATCTTCACCTGGAGATGAATCCTTAACGAGAGAAAGTACACCTTTCAATTCGTTTAGAGAAAAGGGAGAATTAAGGACAGAGTGGTCTCCGGAGGAAAAAGAAGGAACAGAGCAAGTCATTAAATTAGGAGCTGAAGCTGGAGCCAACTTATCCAAAAATTGATTTGCTAATTCAGATGGAAAATTGGGATTTGATGAAGAATTAAATGCGCTTCGAAACCTTATATTTTTTTTCCCAGACAAAGACGGGACTAACGTCAGGAGATATAGATAGATTCACAGAACTTCTTCCATTCATCAAATTTCTTTTTTTTTTAAAGGTTACGGGTGTTACGTGCGACTTGTGAATAAATTTCAAATTTTTCAGAAGTCATGCACTGACCATAAATTCTTTCAGCTTCCTTCCTTCTCTTGATAGCCTCAGTGCATTCACAATCCCACCAAGGAGGCAATGGAAGTCTATCTGGATAACCTTTTCTAATGGGAAACAATTCATCTGCAACTTCAAGAAGCATTTTAACAAGAGAATCTGAACAATGAGATTCCTCATGAGTAGAAACAGATGGAAGTGAAGAAGTTCTATTTTCAACTCGCTGAGAAAATACAGTCCAGTCATGAGGAAATCTATACTTTATGCGGGGATTGGGTTTTTGGCATTAGGCATATGGCGAATAAAAGGAAATGATATTATAATAGGAATGTGGTCACTACCACAGGAAGAAGTATGAACATGCCATGAGAGCGAGGATGCTAAATCAGGCGTGGATACAGAGAGATCAGGTGCACTTAATCCTTCACCTGGACCTGGGAGACGCGTAGGAGCGCTATTATTCAAAATACAGAGATTTTGAGAGTCAAGTATATCTAACATTAAGTCTCCAAAACAATTACATGAAGAGCTTCCCCATGATTGATGATGACAGTAATCGCCTAATGCTAAAAAAGGTTTTAGTAAAACTGAAAATAAATGGTTGCCTTCATTAAATAAAGCTGTTGAAGGACGTGGAATGTAAATAGATACGAAACATATGCCATTTACAATTATTGCTATAGCATCTTTGCCATCACTTAAAGTGGGTAATTGTAAGAGTTGGTAAGTTAGAGAATTTTTAATGATTATGGCGACACCGCCATACCCATCAGATCTGTCTTTTCTAAGGGTGAAATAACCAGTTACTTTAAAAGGATAGCCAGGTTCCATCATGTTTCTGAAAGATAAAGCATAAAGGGATGAAGTGCATTTATTAAATAAAAAATGTCAGATTTTTTACTGGAGGCACTTCTACAGTTCTACTGTAGAATTACTGGGTCCATATTGAGGACGAATTAAAACAGAATTTTTAATAACATTGGCTACGTAGGACGGTTCAAATTTAGTCTGAATCATATTTGATTTAGTCAAGAAATTTACAATGGCTATAATAATGTCCGAGATAGATGTCTGTGAACTAGTATTAGAAGAGGCTTTAAGTGCTGAACCATTAGGGAAAGCTAAAGGTATGTTGTAATCCTTTGCAAATGAATCATGTGCAGCACGATCATACCCACCCGCTACTTTAGGAGGGGACCGTGGTTGAACAAACACTGTTTTTTTATAAGATTTATTAGTTGAATGAGCCTCTGCTGAAACTGTGTAGTTAAGGTTCAGCCTACTATCATTAGATTTTTGTTGAGAGGAGCGAACTGCATCAGCAAAAGATCTTGAAATTGGAGGGTGATGTTTTGATGCTTCGGAATATGATATACTACTTTGGGCCATGGACACTTTAATTTCTTTTTGACGGGCAAATTCAGGACAGGATTTGCTATTTGCAAAATGGAATCCAGAACATAGGCAACAAGAAGCATAATCTACATGTACCGAGCAGGTTTCAGCAGTATGGTCTTCACCACATTTTAGGCAACGGGGTTTGGATCTACACTGCATTTTGGTATGACCATAACGGCAACAACGGTAACATTGTATTGTATGATAATATATATACAGTTCAACAGATAAAGCAGTATAGCACATATAAATGCGCTTTGATAAAACTTGTCTTTTATCAAAGCGCATTTATATTAAGGCTTTGGCAAAGCCATCAGCCTAAACATGAAGTTTAATTATGTTTCTGTAAATATGGACGCCACAAAGAGGATAGGCAATTTGAGGCGGCGTGCTTGGATTGACTCGGGATTCCTTAAAACGGGCCGATACGGGTACTTTAATTCGACATTCGTATAATTTCGCGTTTTAATCTTCGATTAAGGCACAATAGCGCTATCCTATTCCACTTTAAACTAGATTTCCCAAAATAATTGAAAGTCAAAATAAAAACGACACTTTTCCCTCCAAAAGGCCCAGAGCGAATCTGAAAGCAATAATAACATTTTCACACATAAGAAATTTGTTCTAACAAAACAGTTTACCTATAGACTGGTCTTACTTTGCGTGCGGTTTTTGAACACATAGAGAGTTTATGATATGTGTGTAGATTAACTACTTTGTAATCTACACGAGATATTTTGAATATCCTTGTAGTAGAATCACAGATATATATGTCTGAGTCAGATATATGTATAAGTCAGGACTTGAGTATTGCAGTAAGCAGTGAAAATCATACTCAAGTCCTTGCCATTAGGGTTGTATTTCCAGTGCTTGAAATCATACTCAAGTCTGCTCAAATTCTGACTTGAGCATTGAGTAGAGTTCTATTCCAGAACTCAGACATATATGTAAATAGTTCTAGAATACGACCGTAAGAGTAGAACCGAGTTGACTTTTTATTCGTTCAAAGGCGAAGTTAAGCAAACTGTTTGAGCACACATTTAGGATTAATTCAATATTTTAAAAGAAGTTCAAAACTCAATATTTTCAATTTAAGAGAAAAGCACCATCTGTATTCTGTGTCGTAATGTTGACGGGACATTGGCGCTAAAAATCAATTGTTTACAGCAAATTCCGAAATTTAATATAATATCTTGGTGACGATTTCTTCCGCAAATCCCCATTGCAAGTACTACGTTAGTGTGGATTTGTGAGTGTGGGATGGATAGAACATGCCCGCTGTGTATTAGAGTTATCGCAATCTTCGGCGACATGGTCCAAAGAGAGTGATTACATTATCACTACGTGGTCATGCAAGTAATGTAGTACTGCCCAAAAAAATGTGTTCAATCACGTATTTCTTGATATAGCTGTATTTAGTGCTAACGCCACAAGGGCTAAGGAAAAAATTTGCAATCTTTCAACACCCTCATAGTCTCGTCTTGACAAAGATAAAGTTCAGAATGACAGGCGTCATGTGAAACCCCAGCTTCGAATTGTCCATTACAATTGCGGATTTTTAAAGAGACCTGCTGAAGGTCGCGTGTTGCCACTGGATATCCGAGATCTACCTAAAGAAAACCTATAATTTACATCATTGTTCTTCAGGCATAGGCCATGGGCGCCACTAAAAATGGATTCTATTAGGAATTCCTAAGAGCCTGATGACAACCTCCAGCTGAATTATTATTATCACAGAAGAAAAAAAGCAGTAAACCGTATTTATTGTTCTGTGATTGGTAGTCTACTATTAGCTATATATTCATGAATTTTATAAAGACAACAAAAGAAACAACTAATTTGGTGGTAAGTTTATTGGTGAAATTTTACAAATGCGTACAATAAAGTGACCTACAACATGCCTACAATAATTTTATATTACTATCATTTACTTCTTAACAGCAGCCCTCTCTCGCGCTTTCTTGCCTTCCATCAACTTTATTCTTTCTTCTTCTGATAGATTGTTATTGATCTTAGTGATGACACCTGTTCCTAAAGTCAAGTCACCCAAACGTAATGTGAATCTTTGTCCAGCTTCACACACCATAGGTTTTACAAGTCTTAACTTGAGACTGAAACAGAAAAAATAAGTGATAATTTGAAGAGCACAGATTTAATGAAATTACAAAATAAAGAACGGAAATACTTACGTAGCATCTTCGCCAGGCATAACCATCTCCTTATCAGGTATGACAACTTGTGCTGCACAATCCCAAGTCATTGAGAACATCTGTAGTTGAATGAAAGATGTGAAGGGTTTGGATCGTCCACCTTCGTCCTTGCTGAGAATATAAACAGCAGCTTCAACATTGTCATGGGCCTTTACTGTGCCAGGTTTGGACATAACCATGCCTCGTTTGATTTGTTCTCTTTTGATGGACCTAACCAGGGCGCCTAACTGGTCACCGGCTTGTGCTTCATCCAGTGTCTTGTGGAACATTTCTACACCAGTAACTGTGGTCTTCATCACCTTACCATGGCCAACAATTTCACACTCAGTACCCTTCTTCAAAACACCTGTAAACAAAAAAAATGTGCTTATATTAGCCAAAACATGACTCATCTGTTAAATGGTATTTGTCTCCCAATTTCGCCTCCAAATTTGTTATGTTACATACCTCTGTGTAAGCGTCCAGTAACAACAGTACCACGTCCAGGAATTGAGTGTACAGATTCAACTGGCAAAAGGAAAGGTTTGTCCAGCTCACGTATTGGTGTAGGTATGTAGGCATCCACTTCATCCAAGAGCTTGTTAATTGCTTCAGCACCAATTTCTGGGCTCTTACCCTCTAGTGCACTTAGTGCAGATCCTAAAAACATAATCAACAAATCAATAATATCACAAAATTATAAAATGTAAACATAGTTTTAATTTATTTCCTTGAACATACCTTTAATTACAGGTACGTTGTCACCGTCATACCCCATTTCAGTCATTAGCTCTCTGATTTCCATCTCCACTAGCTCCACCATCTCTTCATCAGCAGCATCAACTTTATTAATGAATATTACAACATGCTGAATGCCTATCTGTTTCGCAAGCAGCAAGTGCTCACGTGTTTGTGGCATAACACCATCTGTGGCTGCTACTACAAGTATGGCACCATCCATTTGAGCTGTTCCTGTGATCATATTCTGAAAGTATACAAATGGTCATTAGTATATTTTATGTATTGATATCTTTTTAACTGAATGATTGCTGTAAGTATTGACTCTGCTCATCGGGTATATAACCAGAAATATAGGTAAAATAAGGGCTATCCATCCCTGGCAACTCATCAGGCAAATGGGCCTTATATCACTTTTAAATTTCTACTCTCGTTTGCACTGGAATCACAAATTAGAAAGCTGAAATAATACAGCGCCAACAACTGACCTGTGTGTACGTCTCCATATATTCCAAAAATATTCTGTATTTGTTGTAATAAAGATATTTCTAACTATGGGGAGCTGTTTCATTCGGTTGAGTGGGAACAACAGCAAAACATCTAATTACAAAACAAACGAATCACATTTCGTCAGTAATTAAATGTTAAATATGTAATTTTTCAATTTTCGTCCATTATAGCAAGTTAAACTGGTAGATTTGAAGTGAAACAATTGACGACGCCTGTCAATTGTTTCGAATTCGGGCTGACCAATCGGAGCACAGTCATCACCGTAAGGATTTGGCAGAATAGTTTTCAAACAAATTAAATGACATTTCGTCGCTATTTCTGGTTATACTCGATGACTCTGCTATATCCACTACATTCAAAATCAAAGAACAATGTTTTGAGTAAATGATATCAGTGTTTTCAATGATGAAAATACATGATTTTTGTTTAGAAGCTGAAGAAAGAACTACTACTACTACTACTAAGTTAATGTACCTTGATGTAATCAGCATGTCCAGGACAATCTGTGTGCCCATAATGCCTCTTGTCTGTCTGGTACTCAACATGGGCAACATTAATTGTGATACCACGGGCCTTTTCTTCAGGTGCATTGTCAATGTCAGAGTACCCTTTCATCTGAGCTAAATCACGGTCTGCTAATACTGAAGAGACACCGAAAAACATTATGTATTACCTATTCTTTAAACTGCAAGGAGAGACAAACCATCGCTAATTGTAAGTGTTAGTCTGGCAAAAAATTATTACCTAATGAAACTCAAAAGTGTTAGAAAGAAAGTATTTACCTTTGGTGATGGCAGCAGTAAGTGTAGTTTTTCCATGGTCTACATGTCCAATTGTGCCAACATTGCAATGAGGCTTTGTACGCTCAAACACCTGCTTCTCTGCATAGTTTCTTCTGAGTACAATACTAAGTGGTGTTAGGCCAGGGAGACCAGTAGTGCTTCGTAGATACGCACATTGGCTTTGTTTCAACATAAGTTTTACAGCTGAAATTGTGGAGGATTGTAAATAGGTAAAATGCCTCAATTCTGATACAAGGGCAAACTATTGACATAACCTCAAAATTTTGATCCACAAAAATCAATATGCGCATTTGTCACCATTCAAGAAAGTACAACATATGAAAATATAAGTAAATGATACTTTAGTTGTCAATAAAACTGAGTAACTGATTCGAAATTTTAGACTCAAAGCATTTCATTTACATAATCTTGAAACAACAAAAACAGCTTAACATTTTATTTATGAATTTGTGTTCCATACCATAAGTAAAAGAATATCATACAAATTAATGTTGTGTATGGAGCTGGAAATCCAATAAGAATACTAAATCACATATAATTACCTGGGTTAACCAAACTTTTGGCAAATGATATAGTAGCCATGTCGCCGGCACACCACACCAAATGCTGGAACTTATTTGAACACACTAATTTAATGATAGTTTGTTTGTAAAGAACGTAATGTTTATATTCGAATCAGAGAAAATTATATCACACGCCAAACGCGCACTGCAAATTAATTCTAGAGAGAAGGGACATAAACTAATATATAATATACGTTCACAAATAAAGAAGTGGTTTCACTTAACATTACAGCTGTCACTTTGACAATAATCTCTATCCATCCCTTTCAAATAGCAAATGAAAGAAAGAAACCAAAAATCGGCCAAGAACTTGTCGACCATGCACATGACAGTGTTTCGAAGTAAATTACATAATTAATTTTGTGAAACTTTATTTTGTATAAAATAAAACGCTACTTTATGTCGTCTAAATTCACAGATATTAAAAATCCGTGATATCGCGCTTAGAGGAAGGATGAAAAAAAAATCCGTCAAGCTTGACACCTAAGATTTAAATTGAATTGAACTCTAATTAGTAAAATTAAAAAGTAAATTAAACAAGGCTATGACCGCACTAATTTTTATATTAATTTTAAAAACTACACTGGCACACACCATTATATTGGGTGTAATTTTGTTTTTCCATCCTCTAACACCGCGTTTACACCTTGTTTACAATATCGTCGAAACAATCGTGTCGAGAGGTTGAAACGCGTTCACACATTCGTGCGATAGGCGATGCGATGCACGACACGCATGCGTAAACGGTCACTTCGCTATTCGCGTTGTGCATCGCATGAATCGCATCGCCACTCGTGCGATCGCATTGTGAGTGGTATTTCGAGCACGAGTCAAAGGACACGAGTTTTTTTAAAGCTGTGCTTTTTTTTTTAGAGAAAAATATAAAACTACAATCAATGGTAAAAATAAACTCTTGGTATTTCATGGAATGTATCTATATTATTTACGTAAATATTTATACAATGCATTTTCATTAAAATGTATACAACAAAAGGTTATTGTAAATTCTCGGACAACACTCAAACGGGGTAATTATCACGGCCTTGTATATTAAACTGACCGCGCACTAAGTTAATAAAGGTAAATAAGGTAAACGAGCCGAGAGAGAGGCTTCAAAGTAGTAATGCGTCTCTTTCAGTCATGGTTCAGCCAGCCCATAGATACAGAATAGTATCTATGAGCCAGCCACATTGTTTTTAACTTTTTAATTTTTACAGAAAATGTGGCCGCTTATTTTATTACCAAAACTACTAATATTATTTCATAATTGAAATTAGTATACTTATTTGATATGCTACTTCATAATAGAAGCTTTCATTGTTTATATATTTTTTTGTATTATTACAGTAAAAGCATAATACCTTTAAGCTAATTTTATTTAACCAAAAGTTGGTAGGTCAATGACCAAAATGAAAAAAGTTAATGCACTAGACACTACCTAAGATGATTTTATTTAGCTTTGGCAACTTGTTAGACAAGGACAGACCACTACTTCGAGCTATCTCACGTAGCTGGGTTTTTACTTTTATTTAAAATAAACCTTAACGTAACCCAATAAGGTGTAAGTTTGTAATATTGGTATATAGAAGTACGCGACCCAGTTTATGAAATATATAAATCCGTGGTACGTCCGTACATTTTTTTTTAAATATGAAGTGTCAAAACTAGCTGACATATTTTTTTAAAGCTACGACTCAATGAAACTTTTTTTTTATACTAAACTTATAACGTTTATTGTTTGATTTGTGACTGCAATGAATAGCATGGTTATTTATAATGACGTTAAAAAAAAATCACTCCAAAATTAGAAAATTTGTGATGACAGTACCTAAACATGTGGTCTAGGGTATCGATTGACAACATTTTCAAAAAAATGCCTATTATCGCTTAACTAAGTGACATGGATTTTTTTTTAATTTTTACCAGAACTGATATAACCTGGCCTCTCGCCCAGTGACCGCTTGACGTTGGGTTTTGGGACACCTGTATATTACATATATTCGAAAATTAACAAATGTGTACATTTCATTGCACGCGACACCCACGGCCGGTAATCCACAGACTACTTAGTGAACTACGTTCAGACTGCGCACTATAGTACTTTTTTTTCAGTAGTAAGAATTATTTTTAATCTGTGATACTAATGTCGACTGACATTTCATTTTTTTTAATAGGTAGACGATATTGTCTTGCAAAGGAGCAGAACATATACATCCAAAAAAAATTTAGGTGCTAGGTAGGGTTCCAGTTCATTTATATAAAATAATACGATAAAATAAAATAAATAAAACAACTCAATATTTGTTAAGGCGTTTATTTTTTAAATTCTTTTTAAATTTTTCTAATGCTTTGTTTTGCATTGGAGGTAGAATGCGGTTTGCTAACCTATGTCCGTGCCTTTTAAAATTTTATTTGTGGTACTGCACCAATTCATAATTGTAAATCGAACAGTGAAAGCAATAAAACTATTAAGTAGATTGGTTTTATGTTCGGCACAGTTTATGAAATCAAATGAATACTTGGACAAAATTATTCGCTGGAATATTATATGCAATATTCGCTTTATTTGCGTTGCGTTCAAAGTATTCATTTGTTTCTCTGATTACTGTACCGAAACACGTTACTGCTCCTTCGGATGGGTATTTCAGTCGGTTTTTATACGTTGTATACTCCCTGTGACTTATCCAGTCGTGAATACGCGTTTAATTACTTGTTAAAATTTTTAGGCATAAGTTACAGTTTATTTTTAATTTATTTAAAATTTTCCTTACCACCCATCCAGCAGTGTAGGCCCGAGAGTGAACATTGAGACATTCTCGACGGGCCTGGTCTACAATAGTTTCAACGCTTTCAGTCCTAGGATGATCAGGCTGAATATTTTCTTTTTGTTCTTCAAATAATGATTGTAAATTGAACACTTGGTCCGCCGGATCATCCTCACAATTACAAGTTTCATTATGGAATTTAATAATCCTAGTTATTAGTAATGATTTAAAGGTGTAGTTAGAGCTGTGGCAGTTTGGGTCATTATTTCTATAATTATAGGCCCTAACTTGACCGAACAAATTCTTTATTGGATCGGAGTTAAAATATCTAGGCCTCATTATTGTAATCCCTTTACTTTGGAAAAACTGCCACAGCTTCATATAACTTTTTAAAGTTATGACAAAGTTTTTCAATGACGGCACGGACTTTTCATGTCCTTTCACATCGACATATTTGGTTTCTTCCAATTATTTTATTGATTCCCTCCAAAAATCGTGATGAGGTGATTTTTCCGTTATGGCTGTTCTTAATATTTTTCCTTTTCTTTTTGACCGTATTGCAGTTCCATTGACGTTGTCAAACAATTTATCGAAGAACAAAACAGTGTCTGCAGTGTTTTGTAAAGTGTTACTGACTGGTCTGCCATCTGCATAGTGAGCTGAAAAATAACCCTTTATTAATCTATCAATGAGTAGTAAATAATTAAAATCAATAGCAACCTGTATCGAAATTCACCAGTAAATTTTTGAGTAAAAATGCGTGCGTTCCTCAACTTGACATTGGCGAAATCACTAATTACTTCAATGGGGCCATATTATTCAACAGAAGAACCTGGGATTTTTTTTCAATAAATCCATTTCAACAGTTTTACTAGAAAATGCTACAGTAATACTAACTGCATGACTAACCTTTTAGTACTTCCCTTTGAAAGTACGTGTGGTCAAGGTGTCTTTTACGCGAGTAACTATGCTCCATATCAATATCCATGTTTTCTGTAAGTGCAAAATAAATAAAACAATTAATATGAATAACATTAAAAGTTATTCCTTCGAACTAGGACACATCCCGGTATAAACACTAACACATGCAGGTATAAACAAACAATTCAAAACAAAATATTATTTCTTTAGTTTTAAAAGTAAGTACTTAAATTGTTATAAGTTATTAACGCTGGATACACCAACGTCGTCAATTGCGAATTTGTTTCTTAGATGACGGTCATAGTTATTAATATTTTATTTCCACAAGGCGACTACGGGCTAAGTTCATATTAAAAGTCTGTTAGGACGTACAGATTAGAAGGCTATAGTAAAGTCTATACTTAAAACTTACCGGCATTGTCCTGTGATGGTATTCCAGAGGAAATCGCGTCTTCGGTAAACAAAGATGGATATGCACTGCCTATGAGACGTGATTTCGGTGTAATAAACCTCTTTTCAAAGTGTTTTTGACATACAAAACATTTGAAAGTTTTTCTGGTGATAACTTTTTCAGATTATCACGATTTAGACACTTTAACCACTTCATGAGTCTTTTCTCAGTGCGAGGAAAATGATGTAAAAAAGCGTCCTGTCGTGAACTTTTACATACACAGCACTCGTACATTTTGCATGAAGCAAAATACAAACACACAATACAGAATTAACGGAGAGGATAAGCACGTCACGTCTTCACTCGATAGATTACCGCACGGCCGGTAATCTACCTATAGAGAACCGCTCGCAATAGCAGCCATCTTTTTTAATGAATAATGACATTTGTCATTTTTGTTTCCTTGCTGTGATTGGCTGCCGCAGGAGCAGTAGCCTTTCCGCCATCTTGGGTAGTGATCGTGGTATTTTACATCTTGTTATTGTTTTGTTAGTCACCTTGTAGTGGCTTGTAGTTTGTTTGTACAGGTTCAGATCGAGTGAAGACGTGACGTGCTTATCCTCTCCGTTAATTCTGTATTGTGTGTTTGTATTTTGCTTCATGCAAAATATACGAGTGCTGTGTATGTAAAAGTTCACGACAGGACGCTATTTTACATCATTTTCCTCGCACTGAGAAAAGACTCATGAAGTGGTTAAAGTGTCTAAATCGTGATAATCTGAAAAAGTTATCACCAGAAGAACTTTCAAACGTTTTGTATGTCAAAAACACTTTGAAAAGAGGTTTATTACGCCGAAATCACGTCTCGTAGGCAGTGCATATCCATCTTTGTTTACCGAAGACGAGATTTCCTCTGGAATACCATCACAGGACAATGCCGGTAAGTTTTAAGTATAGACTTTACTATAGCTTTCTAATCTCTACGTCCTAACAGACTTTTAATATGAACTTAGCCCGTAGTCGCCTTGTAGAAATAAAATATTAATAACTATGACCGTCATCTAAGAAACAAATTGGTGACGTTGGTGTATCCAGCGTTAATAACTTATAACA